TAGATTATGGTATTTGGTTATTTTATCTTTTTTATAGTCATATGATTTACTTAGGATAATATTTATCTTTTATAAGATATTATTAGAGTGCTGGGATTTATTTTATCTTTTAGGTTTGTTTATCCTATCAGGCATGGGATTGTTTGCCTATAAATATTTGTTTCATTAATGAGAATTTAGAGATTGATTGAGTATATAAAAACATGAAAATTGCGAGTTAGTTCGAGTGAATCGAATTAATTTCCAAACGTTGCTTTTCTTTCGAAAAAAAATCAAGATTTACGTTGCTTTTCTTTTTATTAAAGTCGGAAATATTAAAACTTTATTGAATTAGCTTTACCCTAATTGATGGTATCCCTTATTGTGGTTTAATCCACATCAGATATGTATTAAATACTTGATGATCACCATTATCTTTGGAAACTAATAACTTTGCTAATGGTCTTACTCTTATGGGCATTTGGGTCGTTCTTATGGGGAAGGAGGGAGCCCCAATTAATTAATCACCTAGATTTTAGTGGTGCGAAGAGAAAAATAATTTATTTTTTTTTAAAAAAAAGAATTCGATCCTTGCCAAAATTAGCACAGGTGGAGTAAAATTTTATATATTGTCATTTGATCTCTGTACCCCTCCCCCTTTTTTGGCTTATTTATCTTTGCGAGTTAATTAAATAAATAAGCCCTTAATTGTTACATTTTTCACACTTTGGGTACTCACTTTTTTTTTTCACTCTTTGAGTAATCTTATCGATTTTCCGACAATTAACCCCCTTTTAACCCACCGTTAACTCAAATTAATTAAAAATTATTATTTTTAAAAAAAAAAAACTAATAAGAGTAAATCACGTGGAATATCACACACACAAAAAAAAAATCTCGAATATTTTCCCTTTTTTCTTACTTGGAAACAATTTGCACACCTATTTCTTCAAATTTTTTCTCATCAATTCTTGCAAATTTCATCTCTTCCTTTGTCCTTTTACTATAAATACCTGATGGAGATTAAATATAAGTTCGAAAGCTTAAAAATGTAATTTTATATTTATTCTTTCTTGTCTTAATTATTAGACTTTCGTATATTACTTAAATTACATGAAATTAGGTAATTATAACAATATTGGGTGGAAAATTTTGAATTAATCATATATTTTGAAGTATTGTTGTTCAACCTTCACTAACACAAACCAAAGAGGAATTGATGAATTTATTACTTTTGTTGTGGGCTGTCTGGGCCTTTAGAAACTTTGTTGTGTAAAATAATACTTGGAGTAATTGTCTGGCGGGTGCTATGGGTTTTGTGAGGTTGGTGGAGGATTACCTTAGTACTCTGTAATAAGGTGGAATTTGATGCTGTTCTAAGGGCTAATGAAGGAGAGCTGTGTGCTGTAGCTATCCGCAAAGAAGTTGGGATTGATTTGATGAAGACACCAAAAGAAATGGCTACAAGGTTGGGCATCTCTTTGGTTGTGCGGCTTGGATACCGATGTGTAGAGCTAGAATGTTATTCGCTTAGTGTGGTTAAATTGATATTAAAATGCTGCTGCTTGTTTCTTCTCCCATAAAAAAATAAAAAAAATAAAAAAAAAATAAAAATAAAATCAATTGCTTCAAAACTTGTATTGTGCTATACATCAATTAATTTAACTCTTAGCTTCGTCAAAAAATAAATAAATATTAATTCAAGGTACTCAATTCTTTTTGGGTATTTAACTTTTTTGGAAGGAAAATGGGTTTAAGTACCTAACGGTGAAAAAAAAAGTGGAGTACTCAAACTGCTAAAAATTTAACAATTAAGGGCCCATTTGTGATGTTAACTCTATCTTTCTTACTAAAAAATACATCAAGTAGATTGATCCTTTCTAAAATAATCAATTTTCTTTTATATAAATGCTTCTTTTATATTGAACATAGTGACCCTAATATTAAATATAGTAACTTTATTTAACATAATAACATTTATTAAAATCTGTGTGATCTTTAATATTATTGCGAATTTGAAATACGAAATAATGTTGAGCAAAGTGACTCAAATTTAACATAGTGACCTTTATTATTCATATTGACCCGTATTTTAAAATCTTCATTAAAAACAAAATTAATCTCTTATGACCTTTATAAATAAAAAATGACTTTATATTAACATAATATCCTTTATTTTAATTTTAATATAGTAACCTTATTATTATTATTATTAATAGAATGACCATAGTGTCTATTTCTGATCCACAATAAAATAATGTGAACCATATCTATTTAAGATTTTGTATGTTTATGTGGCATAATTTTTTTAAAAAACTTTTTAATCAAGCAAAAGGTTTTATGTGAGACTAGATTCATCGTAAGTTCAAATTATACTCTCTTTGTATTTTATTACTTGGGCCATTTCTTTTTCTAGAAACCTTTCGCAATATTTTACTAATTTATTCTATGCTAGTTGACTCCCTAACTGGCAACTACTATACTTTAATATTTTCATATTCTCTTTCCTCCTAACTATCATGAGTTTTTCATATTATATTTCGACTTTTATATATTAGATTTTGATTTTATTTTATGTTCATATTATAATTAGATATTTATATCATATTCGAACCCTCAACCTCTTATAACAAAGACGACTATTTAAAATCTAAGCCAATAATTAATTATGCTATTATTATGTAATAAAATTTATATAAGTGCAAACCACAAGGTTCAATTTAAAAAAAAATATAAGATATTCAAAGACAAACTCAATTTTGGTTTGACAATGATAATTTCAGTTCTAAAAAGCTTTTATAGAAAGGAAAAATTATCAAGAATAAGCCAATCTTTGCGTGATTAGCTTAAAATAAGTCAACCATTGAATTAACTAAGAATAAGTTGACTTTTAAGAGGTATTTTCTTAAAATAGGTCAAATAACCTACAACCTACTAACCAAGTCATTTCTATCATTTTATTAATTAAAAATTATTTATTTTAATTAATTATTTAAAACCTTTATATATATTTAAAAATTAAAAAAATAAAAATAAATTCCACCTCAATTACTGACCTAGCCAACACTATCACACCATCACACCTCGTTGGCTACCGCAATTACCACCTCCCTTACCCTGCTCCTTTCTATCTCTGCCCTCCCACCACCAATCCTCCACCTCTAAACCCCTTTATCTTCCCTTCCCAAAACGCTGGCAAACCTCCATTCTCTTCCACATAACCTAGCCCCTTTCTCTTCCTCGTCCTAAACACCGGCCTTCGTCGGTCAAAACCAACCCTAGCCCGCAAATCCACATTGAAACACACCTCAAAACAACCGTACCCATCTCAAATCCCCGCCCTAGCCACCAAAATATCACCATATCCACACGCAAACTCGACCCTAATCAACGAAATCCAGGAACCCGAAAATAATCTACCCTCAAAACTCTACAGTATACCAACCTGATAAAAGCCAGTAAGCCACCACCATAAATTCATACAAAAAAATAACAGAGATAGAGAGAGAGATAGAGAAAGGACAATCATATGGCAGCAATGAGAGGGAGGGAGAGGGGAGAGCTGGTGGGTGTTTAGGTTCGTTGGGGAGAGGGGAATTAATAAAAAAATTAATCAAAAACATTTGTTTTAATTAAAAAAAATTACTTTAATTTAAATTTTAATTAACCAACCATATTAGGACATTTGGCATACTTAACCTAAGCAACAAGTTACTACCAAAATCAAACGGTCATGATTCATTTTGGGATGATATCCTATAAAGGTTGGCTTATTCTTATTTAATTGAAAGGTTGGCTTATTCTTAATTAATTGAAAGGTTGGCTAATTTTGAGTTAATCATGCAAAAGTTAGCTTATTCTTGACAAATTTTCCTTAAAAAATTATCGATTGCATGTCTACAACATTTACAACCCGGGACAACGTCCGGGCTATTCACTAGTGTTTTATTAAAAAAAAAAAAAGGATTGTGAATCTTATGGGGTAGGGTGAGTATAATATTCTAAAGGGATAGGGTGAACCATAACCCTTTGATATGACTTGTGTGATTCCATGTCTAAAATGCAACTAAACAATAAAGTTTATTGAATGCACTTTTAACTCCATTAGGGGTCGTTTGGTTGGCATGCGGTAATCGGAATGGAATGAACAAAGGGAAAAAAGAGATTAGAATAGAATGAAAATCCTTGAAACTTCTTATGATGTTTGTTTTAAAAAAACAAAGGGAATCAAACCACCAGTTCCACCACCACACAACAACCTATCTTCTTCGCTTCTGACCTTTTCTAGCCACCCCACCATTCGTCGCGCCTCTCCCACCACCGCTGCTCTTCACAACCTCTCCCCTCCCCCCGTAGAACCCTCCCCTTCCCTGAAGAACATCCCTCAGCCCCGAAAAACCCTAGAATTCCCTTTCGACCTGTGGAGGGATTGACGGACGGTGGTATTAGGGGGATATGGAGGGGTTTCTAGGGTGTTACGGGGTTGAGGATTTTTTTTTTTTTTTTTTTTTTTTTTTTTTTGTTTTTTGGGGAGAGGGGGGATAAGCGACAAAGGTCGTCGGAGACGCGGCGAAGCGTGGGGAGTGTAGTGGTTAGGTTTCTCGGTGGTATGTGTGGTAGGAAGGTAGTGATGTGGTGGTGTAGTAGTGGGTAGGGAATGAGAATGGAAATACCTAGTGGGGTGGGGAATCAAATTGGAAGGATTTGAGGTAGTGGAGGGAGTAAAGGGAATGGAAATAAATGACTAACAAACAACAACAAAGAATATCAGTATAATTGATTATCTTTTCCTTTGAGTGTTCTCTTACGTTGAAAGTCAGTTCAGTTCAGCTTTTAATTTCCTTCTCTTATAAAATATTCATTTCAATTCAGTTTAGCTCAGTTCAGTCAATGAGAACATGCCCTTAGTCTATTCCAATATACATTTTTTTTAAGACTTTCAAAAGTTCCAACTAAACTACTCTTAAAGGACTGCTCGTGCTCGGTATTAGACGGTTGATTGATTCGTTAATAATAATGGAATGAGACATGCCGTTAATTAAATTGGTAATCTACAAATACAATATGTAGGTTGTTCTTCTCACATCTCAAATTGACTGGTTTCAAAACTTGGCAGCTCTTCCCACACTCTCGCTCCACTTCTCTCTCCCCTTTGTCAGTCTTTCAAGTTGTTGCAAATTTCCAGTAATTTCCGCTTCCTCTATAAATTCGATGCTCGTTAGAAGATTTTCTGCCACTTTATCTCGTTTAGAGATCAACCCAATTTGCAATTCCTGCAAATTGCGCAATTTCCACCCAAACCCTAGAAAAATCACCCTAATTTCTTCCCAAATTCCTGCAAAATTGACCCTTCGAACCCCAGATTTCAAAACCCACAAATTCTACTCCTCAATTTCCCAAATGGGTGATGCCCGCCGACCCGCTTCGGTCCCAATACCGGACATCAACAAATCTGACCGGTCCGAGCTGCTTCGAGCCCTCGAAACATCGCTGGGTTCGTCGTTCAGCACGGTACCATTGGCTCCCCAACCGAACCCCCTTATCATAGTCATCAGCGGGCCGAGCGGCGTAGGTAAAGATGCAGTGATCAAGAGATTGAGGGAAGTAAGAGATAACATACATTTTGTTGTTACTGCCACTAGCAGACCAATGAGGCCTGGGGAGGTTGATGGGAAAGACTATTACTTCGTTTCGAAAGACGAGTTTTTGTCAATGGTGGAAAGGGATGAATTGTTAGAACATGCTTTAGTGTATGGGGATTATAAGGGTATACCAAAACAGCAGATTAGGGAGTTTATGGGTAAAGGGTATGACATTGTGTTGAGGGTTGATATTCAAGGGGCAGCTACATTGAGGAGGATTCTTGGGGATTCAGCTGTTTTTATATTTGTGGTGGCTGAGAGTGAGTATGCAATGGTGAATAGGTTGATTGGGAGGAAGACCGAGACGAGGGAGATGTTGTTGGTGAGGATTGCTACTGCTCGGGAGGAGGTTAAGCATGCCGGTAATTTCGATTATGTGGTTGTTAATGCGGATGGACAGCTTGAGAGCGCGGTGAAGTTGGTTGAGTCTGTGATTGATGCTGAGAAAGCTAGAGTTAGCCCAAGGAATGTTAGTATATAGCCTATGTTGAGCTAATTTTTGTTCTTATTGATGAGGTAATTTTTAATTTACTACTTTTATGTAAATGTGATTTCCCAATTTGTACCATGTTTGATGTTGTAATTCATATGTGAAGATGTGCTTCAGAATTTAGTTTGATGCTTTTGGCTTGTTATTTGATATGCAAAAAATCTAAGCAAGAGGTGGAGCCGCCTATTCTATTCAGAATTTGTTTGCTCTTTGTAGTTTGTACTCTTGTATTTAAGCTCTGTTATATCTAATGTTATCTGTCTAATATATCAATAAGATTCTAATTGCTGTCAGTGTCACCAGGAATCTGGTACATTTTGGTAATTGGAATAGAGTCAGGAATTCAATTCACTTCTCAGTTATGTAACTAGACAGCAATTGAATTACTGTACCATTTACTAGTTCATACGTCCCAGAAAGTGGTTTTCCATGAGGGAAGGGGTTGAGCAAATTAGATATGTCCCAGAAAGTGGTTTGCCGTAGGGGATGTGGTTCAGCAAATTAGGAGCATGAGCATGAGAACAGCTAAGGGAATAGTTCTAGACTACTTTGTCTAATTATGCATGAACATGGGCTTGGAAATAGCTTGGGTAGCCCCAATGGGTTAAGTGATCACACTGTTGTCGACCCGAGTTAGTTGTAGCAAAGTGGGCCATATTGTTAACATCACAGGAAATAATACGCTAGTAGTCAAATCATCATAGTAACTTCCCAGCTTGAATTAATGGCATCCTGGATGTGGATGGAATTTCCTAGATGGAGCAACCACCTAATAATGGAGTTGAAATTGTGGTTTTTTTTGGTGGTAGTCAATATTCAAATTAACCACCTAATAATGGATGTGAAGTGTAACTATTTACTAGTTTGGTAATACATACAGAGAACATGCAAAATAAATAATGTTGGTCTTTTCTGGAGTAATTAATGATTGAAAATTATAATGTGGTTGACCCTAGCCCATACTCTATTTTTTGAGGGCTTGGAAATACACGCCTATGTATTATTAAAGTTCTTATAGACTCTTGTCTAATTATCGACTCTTTGTAATGGGAATGGATGCTTGAAAATCTGAGAGTGAGTAGCTTAGATGGCAGTTAAAAGAAGCAGTGCATCATCCATCTTATTTGGATAAAGCAATAAGCAAATTTCTTGATTTAAAAACATTTGTAAGAGAAATTATCCGTGATGTGGAACTTTCTTGAATCCTGATCAACTGAATTAGAATTAGAGAAATTTGATAATGGCATTTGGCTAGAGTGAACTTTTGGCGACAGAGAGAAAAGTTTAGATTTCAAACAATGAGTTTGATTTCAAAACCATGCTTAAGGACTAAGGAGAACAACTGCCTTGAAAAAAGTGAGCTTCACATGTTGTTGGAGAAAATAATGAGGATGCTTTTAGGAAATGAAAGGGGAGAGGTTCAATTAGATTTATGGAAAAGTCCGGCTGTTTACTTTATGATCAGGGTTCAACTTTTTGAAAGGTGGATTTTACTACAGTCAATGGAGATGTAAGTTGAAGAAAAAGGGGTTTAGGTGGCCCCGAGGGAGAAATGGGCTGATTGGAGCGGGATGAGTTAGTTTGAAGTGATTCTTTATGTATTGTGAATCAAACACAACATGATATAACCTGATTGTATTCTTCTGTAGTTCTGTTTAATACTTTATTTAAACGTCTTGTTCAGTTTCACTTTTTTGGTTAAAGTCCCTCCCAGTTGTTGATTCCTTTCCTTTACCCTTCTGTAGACCAAATGAACTCTTAATATTGCTGGAGGGCGTTAGAATTGTCCTATTTGATTCACTGTCTATGATTATTTTAAAGTGCTGTTTTATCACTACATTTTCTTTCTTTCTTCACATCCATTGATGTGTAACAGACATGCCTACAATTTCTCAAACTATAATCTCCTCAAAGCTCATAAATATTGTTACATACCCATTTTAGGAAAACAAATATCTCCTTTCCTCTAAATACCCTATACAGCCTTGTTAATACTTGTTTCTCTAGTAAATGCTTACAATCACATGGACAAGTTTATAATATGGCTTTCTCTCTCTTCCTTTGTTCCATTGCCTAAAAACTTGTGCACTCCCCCATGTTGCAATATTAAAGTAATGGAGGAAGTAGCTGTGAATAGCCTATGCTCACAAACTTGTCACATTGAAAATTACGAAGGTCATGTTTTGTTGTAATCACCTGAAATTTAATTGTCTGTGTCATTTGTCATGTTATATATGTGTTAATATATATTTTTTAATTGATTTAGAATTCCCCAAGGTATGTTTAGTTAATCAATGGGACTCGCTAAGTGATTTGGATGATTCTATACTAAGTTTTTCTATTTTCTATTAGATGTCTAAACCAATTTGAACAGCTTTTTGAGGAGTCCGTTAGACGCCCAAATCTTATACTTAAAAGCCTTCTTGTTTTGGTAAACCCTTATTTAGTTACTTATGCTAACAGTTAATGATCAGCTGTGAGAGTATGACTATAACAAATTAGTATTTAATGTGGTTGTTGGTGAGGGACTGAGTATGCCATTAGTTTCTCAGAAGACTGAGCTAGATTTTTCAGAAGCAGAAATCCAGAATTAGATGTGTCACAAGACCTGCCGATATGAGCAGCAGGACTTGATCATTCTGTTTTCTTCCGTTCTTTTCTTTACTCAAGGCTCTTAAACTTGCAGTTTTTTTTTTACATATAGTCATGTAAAATTGCCCAGGATATACCTATTAAAGGGATTGTAGATATTCTTCCTCATATAGCTAAGGGTAATTGGTTGGTGAAGTTGCCAAGGAAGGTATTTTAAGCTACTAAAGTCATTCCAAATTGTCTTTATGTATGATTGAGCAGAAGCCACTTGTGTAAAATTTTTTCATTTTGATGATGGCATATATGATTATGAATATGTTAACAAAGTGCAAATGTCAAAAATGTGATGAGACTTGGTGTGTGATTGTGTTGGGAATCTTAGGATGTAAAAATAGCTTGATGGACTCATGATTTGGTTAATTTCTGAGGATTAGTCTTGGGTTTTCTTGGTGATATTTCCCGGTGGTCATAATGGCATGGGTTAGACTGTTCAGGGATTTCAGCTGTGACTTGCTAAGAGTAAACCTGAAAACTAAGTTCTTACATTTTTTAAACCTCCTCCGGATTGACTTCTATTTCCTCTGATGAATAGCTGTATGATCACTTTTACAGTAATAAATTAATTTATTCGCCATAGTAATTATATATTCTGCTGCTAATACCTTGATTGTTTGCTAGGTCTTGTTTGAGAGGTAGCTTTTAATAAATGATCTGCTAGACATTTATCTGAAAAGTTACTATTTGAAAGGAAAATGGACAAATTAGAGGCATTTCCTCTTACTCCATGTCACTTATGGATGTATGTATGATACAACTATTAAGCACAAGGGAGTGTCATACTAAATTATCTAATTTTGTTCTTGCATATCCCCTTCTCTATGTGTATGTTCAGCAGTTGCTTGCTTAGTTAAATGGCATGAGGCATACTTGCTGAATTATATTTCTTCTTTTTACTTGCCTTTGCCTGCATTCTTCAAGTCATGCTTACAATAAACAGATCAGCAGATAAGTGGGATGCCCAGCTTTGCTTATTTTTCCGAACTTAGTCTTAAGTTTGATTTGCCTGAATATTGGCCAATATTACATACTTGAATCTTTGATTCTACTGTCTTGAATGCATAGTACCTGGTGCTAATGTGTTTTCACAGGTGAGAAGGAACGTGTTTATTGACTAGTGCTGACTCAAGTTTTGGTGAGAAGCAAGAGTTTAAAGACAGGAATGCACTCTTTGCTTCATCCTTCAATTTTTTTTGTTGGCATACAATGATGTTCAAGTGATACACATCTTTTTGGCTTCCACTTCTATTGCTCCCTCTAACCTTGTAAGATTTCTAAAGTGATCCTTGAAAAATCTTCATTTAAAATTTTGTCTTGTATTCATGTATGATGTATGTATCCTTTTGCGTTGGCATAGAGTAATACAATAGTCTGTGTTTCAGAATTTGGGGTTTAACTTCTACTCTTGGGGGTATACCACAACTGTTCCTGCTAGATAATACAGGATTCAACAAAGAAATATCGGATGTATCTTTTGGTTGTAAAATGTCAATACCTATATCAAAGAAAAGTATAACGAGTTTGATATATGTGACTTTAAATTTAAACAGAATGAGTATTCTTTTCTTTCTACACGCGACTTAATTCTCCCATAAATTGGTAACTTAGTCCAAACTTGCATTACTTCTCCCCTTTCTAAATTTGACCTTGAACTTCAACTTCTACAAAACTTGGTACTTTCTGAAGTATGCCCTTGATAGCTCAGTTGCCGACCTTCTTGCAACTTCCAGAAACTTGTCACTTCGTATGATTTTGCTACTCCACAGAACAACATTCAATAGCTTAGAACAGTTGACCCCTTCGAACATCACTCATGTACAAATATGGTCTAGAATATAAGAGGATAGAATGGTGTCCCATTGAAGACATCTCGTCCTTCTACTGGTCTGGCTCGTGTTCGATTCTCATCGGAAACACTCCTTACATTTCTTGTTCGAAAGGAGCCATTTGCCTCAAGGAAGGCTGCAATACCTCAAAGCTTCCTTAATTAAAAACTATTGTAGGGAGTTAATACAGAGAATCAAATAATTTTAACATCATATTAAGTTTTTGCATGCAATATGTAAGACGTAACAATTTAGGGTATACAATGAAATACTTGGACATAAAGTATTATATTAATTAATTATTGTAAAGTACAATATACCCAATAAAAAAACCTGAAAATATTGTTTTAATGCGAATTTGGAGTTTATTTAATAATATCTCGACGAAGTATGAACTATGAAGCCACCAAATTTAGAGCAACAATTACGTGAAGAGATATCTTATCTTAACTACTTTTCAATTCATCATCAATGAGTTTATGGCCAGAAAAACATCTTACAATAATTTGTTTACAAAGAAATTGTGACATGACCATACTTTTGAAATTTCTTAGACACGAGACATTATAAATAAATAAATAAATAAATAAATAGATAAATCAATTTATAAATAATTAAAAAGACAATTTCCCGTACACTCAAAGAAAATTATAGGGAATAAGGCCATTTTGGGTTGGGACCCTGCAATTTAAGGGAAACAAAAAATCTTTAGCTTTACACAAGAAAATTCCTAGTAATCCTTCTACTATTATGTACATCATTCAATTAAGCCTAGATTGGTTTACAAGTTGCAACTTTATGGTTTGGAAACAATCCAGCTAGTTTATTTATTTTTTAATTTTTGTTATAAATTGTTTGTAAGATTGGAATTTTGTGTAGAACTTTCAAAATAATCCAAGGAAGTAAAGTTACGATGAAAATTAGAGCTCACGTTTTTTCTCATAAACGGAATTGACATTAATGCTCATTTTCATCATATGACATTTGATAAATTTAACCCCACGACACTTGTAAATGTTACACAAGATCATCCAGAAGCAAACTAATCAAGATGATGCTATAATTGATTAGATATTCTTCCTTAATCTAAAATCCTCCTAATTAAAGGGATGTTTTTAGGCATTTAATTCTACTTGTAGCATTGATGAAGACATTAGATATGACGTCGATTCCATTGATACTCATTGACATTTGTGACAGGGTATTCACTTGAATTGCTTAATTAAGGAAGTACAAGTCACATCTCATGATTAACGGAATCGTACCATACAATTTCACGTCTAAACTAGCTGGATGTGCATATATGTCAACTAGTTTAGCTGATAAAGTTTTGACGTAGCACCCAGGACATGAGATCGAATTCCTTTTGCAAGATTGCAACTCACATATCAGAGCCAAGGATTTTTATAAATTTAACATGGGACAGAAATTGGCTGTATAATAGGCCTACCCTTGGGGAATTGAAATGGACATGCATGGTCAAAGAGAGCTTTCAGTTTGACCTGTTCGTTTGATAGCTATAATGCCAAGACTATCCTTTTCCAAGTCTTCTGTTCTCCTTAAGGCGTTAGGTACAATTATTGGAAACAGGATGAAATGTAAACAAGTACTAGGGAGGAAATAAATTATTGAACTCTTATAATTTTAGTTTGATATAACTATGGAAATGAATCGTTTAAACTTATGCATATGAGAAGGGTAATAATAATTGTTACTATAAACAATAGAAAAGTAACAATTGTGGAAACTAGAAACCATTACCCCCAAATAAATATGATTTTTGTCTAGATTCTCTAATCAAACATCCAATAATGGTAATGGTTTATTGAATCCGCTTTGAAACATACAAACACCCTTAACAAACATGCTTAAGATGATGTCCATCAGTCATAACTCCTTGACATTTCATTTTAGGCCCCATTTTGTTCAATTTCGTTCGATTTTTTATGACAAAATAAATTCAGATAACTTCACATGTTCAAATGTTCAATTAATAAGGTACAGAAAGTTGTGCTACATTGAAAATAAGTTGGCTAACAACTTAAAGATGCTTCGAAACCGAATTGATGAGTCTGAAAATTCTAGTTATGAGAAGTACAAATGGTCAAACAACTTTTCACTTGTGACATTGATAGATAAGGAGACTTTAAGATTGATGATTATTGCTTCTGTAAGAAGAGATAATATATCAGGCCTTAACATACTTCCAAGCATAAACCATAAAAACAAAACCCTTTCAAGCAAAATAAACTAAGTTATGAGACAAACGTGTATTGTTTAAGAAGGTACCAAACATCAGCACATATAACAGAAAACCAATTTTGCAGAAAATATTTCAACAAAAAAGACAGCAACATAATCCTACACTCTACCTCATACCGCCTTTTTCATATACAAAATAAATATATATAACCAACTATTTGTCTGCAATTTTAATACAAAACCAACAGATTAAATCGCATTTTCGACCTACCCCTTTTGATCAGCAAAATAATACCCTGATTGCAAAATGGACCATACTAGTCCTAAGGGAGAAGATAAGAGTGTACATTTGCCAATATCTGAGCTGAAGAGGCTTAGTGATGCATATAGTCAGAGCGCGACAATGTTTGAACCTGTGAGCAACAGTAGAGAAGGCAGTGCTGAGACCCCTACAGGAAATCAACCAGCAAGGCCATCAGTTCCTGCCCCTGAGAAAAAGCTGACACTTTTCGCCCTTCGCCTTGCTATTCTTGAGAAGGCAGCTACAGGGTTAGGGACCCTAGGCTTTATTTGGGCAACTGTTGTTCTTCTTGGCGGGTTTGCCATAACTTTAGATAAGTCAGATTTTTGGATCATAACAATTATACTGCTGACTGAAGGAACAAGGATTTACAGCAGGAGCCATGAACTTGAGTGGCAGAGACAATCCACATGGTCGTTTACAGGTGCTGGGATCAACAGTTTCCGTTTTCTGAAACTGGGATCGAACAAAGTCTGGAGCACGGTTAAATCAGTCTTCAGACCTCGGAATCAGAATGGTAGACAGATAACTGACTGCAGAGAAGATAGACAGCGGAAATGGGATAAACAACGTCAGCCAACTCGAAGATGGGCTAGTTCTGATGTACCTGTATTACCTTATGCTTCCTGGCTTTTTCTGTCAAGGAACATCAGCAAGATTCTTCAATTTCTCCAGATTGTAGCCGCGGTTGCATGTGTAGCTCTTTCGTTGATGAAGGTCATCTGGCGTAACTTTGGAGAGGTGGCTAAGGATGATACAGATAAGAAAAACAGAAAAGATGCTCTGCTGATATTCTACGGATTGGCCTTAGCTGAAGCTGCATTGTTTCTGCTTGAAAAGATTTACTGGGAAATAAAGGTAACGTGCTGTAAAGTATTGGAGCGGGTCAATGAAGAGTGCGAGTTTGGACCTTCCGGTATGATTTCAGTCACGCGATTCTTCTATGATGCCTATTCTAGATGTGTGGATGGAAGCGTATTTGATGGGTTGAAGATGGATATGGTTTCTTTTTCTATGGAACTTTTAGCTTCAAATTCACCAGAAGAGCAGCTTATGGGAGCCCGGGTTCTTAGAAGCTTTGCAATGAATCCGCGGTTTTCTGATGACACTCTGCAGAAAATAGGAATTACTTTCACAGCAGTTGAAAGATTAGTAGAGATGTTAAACTGGAAGGATCCACAAGAAGAGGAGATCAGGAAATCAGCTGCAGAAATCCTGTCAAAACTAGCAGGAAAAAAACAGAATTCCCTTAGAGTTGCAGGAATTCCTGGTGCTTTGGAATCAATTTCATCCCTTCTGTATGTTAGCAAGACTTCAAGTTCAGAAATCGACGAAGTCTGTGAGAAAAGTCTTATTCCTGATCATGAGCATTATAGTTTCTGGACATTCAATCATCTAGGACTACTGATTCTCAAGAAGCTTGCTCGAGACCATGACAACTGTGGGAAAATAGGGAATACAAGAGGCCTTTTACCAAAAATCATAGACTTCACACATGCTAAAGAGAGGTTGTTGAAAGATGATAATATCGCGGCATCTCAAATTCAGACAGTGAAAAGGTCCCTGCAAGTAATAAAAATGCTAGCTAGCACAACAGGAAGCACAGGGAAACAGCTTCGGAAAGAGATATCAGAGATAGTCTTCACATTTTGCAACATCAGGGACATTTTAAGGCACGGGGAGAAATATCCTGATCTGCAAAAGCTCGGGATTGAAATACTGACAAGCCTAGCAATGGAAGACGATGCAACAGAGAGGATCGGAGCCACAGGTGGGATTATTAAGGAGTTGTTGAATATTTTCTTCAAAAGTGGGATGCCAATAGGTCAGGTACATGTTAGAACTGCAGCTGGTGAAGCACTAGTCATGCTTGCTTTCGAGAGCAAGCAGAACTGCAACTGTATCTTGAAATTAGGCGCACTGGAGAAGCTCATGAAAGCACTAGAAATCCCCTTAGTTCGTTTAAATGCAGCAAGGATTTTAAGAAATCTGTGCACCTATAGTGTGGATGATTGCTTCCAGGAGTTAAGGGGAGTTTCTGCAGCAGTACCCTCAGTAAGTTTTATCAACTCGTCAGAGATTTTATTTATTTATTTTGTTTAATATGCATTCAATCCATCACTTGAGCTCTAAATTGAGCATGAGTAGCCCTTGTTTGAATTTTCTGAAACTTGTCAGAACTTTTTTTCATGAAACTAATAAAGTGAAAATAATATGTATGATGACAAGAACAAAGACTGATGTGTTCTGTATTATGCTTTGCAGGTTCTTAAGGGCATCATGTCCGAAGATGACAAGCTACGTGAAGTAATGGTTGGATTAGCAGCACGAGCATTCAAGTTCATGACATACTCCGAATCAAGCATCATGTTTGAGCAAGCAGGAATCAAAGAAAATGAAATAGCAAATGTACTAGTACATATTCTGAAGAAACACACATACCCACCTGCCAGATTTCCTAGGATACGCAGGTTTACCATAGAACTTGCAATCTGGATGATGCGAGACAAGGAATCAAACATTCGAGTTTTCAAGAATCTAGGACTCGAAACAGAGCTGGAAAATGTTCTAGATACAACCTCAGAGCTCGAGAGCTTCAACATATTTTCAGGAACAGTAGGATTAAGCAGATTCAACACATCAATACACTCATTGGTTGAAACTGCACAAAACTTGCTGTCAAGTGAATGAATATAGGAGATTCACATTATTTATTTATTTTATTTTTTTCAATTTTTAACACCTATTTCTGCATTATTATTTCTTCTAGATGCTCAAAAATGTGCAACTTTTGGGTTTAGTATACATATACATTTTTTCCTTTTACTGAGGATTAATAAATGAAATTGTATAGAGTATAATTCGTTTACCAAGTATTTTTATATACACCCACCATATAATTTTCAGTGTGCAAATTTATGGGCAAATTATTACATGATCCCCAGGCCAGAGCATATAGCTTTGGACCTAAATCTTTTGATATAAGTATTTAAGAAAGTTCTAACCATATTTGTGAAACGAAGGGAGTAATTTATAAAGGGCGCCATGGCAAAGGCTTCCTTGTGCCACAACAATTGGCATGGCTCCAGTAGCAAAGATAGATCACAGAGTCCCAAACAACCAATCCCCTAAGAAATTGTCACAGTCCATGAAACTTGGGTCCTACAAGTATCTAGCAAGCATTTTTATTTGGTAGATAAGAAGAGTGATCCTACCATGTCGGAATCTTGGTCAGGCCCGAGTTAGCAGGCAAGACAATTTGGAAGAGTGGGAAAAAGGTAAAAGAATCTCCTTTTTTCCCTAATAATCCTTAGTGGAGATTAAACCCCCAACCTCGTGATTAGAAGGATTTCCTTTTTCACAACCAAGCTTAGCTTGGTTATAAATATCTAGATAGCAAGCTAGCACTACCAACATGCCTTCTAATTTGGGATTTTTAGCTAGACAAACAAAATGTTAACAAAATCATGAAATACATTAACAGTTAAAGCTATTAGTATCATTACAGACCATACAAACACATAGGTAACACAATATTGGTCCGTTCAATTAACAAATCACATATTAATACCAATTTATGTATACTACATGTTTATATATAATTTAATAAGTATAGCAAATCATTACAAACATATTAGTAAATTTAAATCATGAGCATTGAAAAAAATACAATATCTAATGGGAACATTCACCTTGATATAATTATAAACTTCATATCCACTTTTGCCTTATAAGTATCCTTTGATTTTTACCCAATCAAGCATTCATCACTAATGAGGTTGCTTCTCTTCTTCTTGCAAACTTTAGCCTTGGCATAAACTCGACCGCTCCCACAAGTGTACCCCGTCCCACAATCATCATCTGTGTTACATCTACACAATCCTTCAAGTGCACAACCTGTTTTATCTATGATTATTCCGTCTTTTAATCCTAAAACTTGATCAGTCCATTCACTTGAAAACAATCCCAAAGGATCATACCTTTCCTTAACTCGTAAAAACTTTTCACCATCCTTATACTTACTAATCACACCTTCAAACGCTACATTGCGGTTTTTACCCCAATGTGGCACGCCACCATACTTAAAAATCGCTATTTGCTCAATCTCATTTATTATGTCCTCGTTAAGTTGAGGACTTAAGGCTTCTCTAGGTCGATAATAGGTAATATCGAAGTCTATACCATCCTCGTCTTTTCCTAGATAAGCCGAGGAGACCTTGACATATCTCATTAGGATACCCAAGTATTGATCAAAACCACAAAAGGATGTAGGATCCATATTAACCAATTTTTTAAGGTCTTTAATGAAACTTGTTAACTTGTTCATAGGCAAAGTAAATCCATTGCTAGAAGAGAATTGACCTTTTATTCTTGGATCCCATCCACAATAACCATCAACAATGTTATTTTGATCATTAAGACAACTTCCGGAAGCTTGCATCTTATTTTGATATCCAATAACCGGGTAGCCAGTGAATAACACACCTAGTGACATTTATACCAAATGAACATGGGTAATTAAGTTAGATAAGCTAAATAAAAACGGTATATATATATATATATATATATATATATATATATATATATATATATATATATATATATATATATATATATATATATATATATATATATATATATATATAGGGGAGGGATCCGGTGAGAATAGATCCATATGTGAGAATTCATACTTATATGAGAACTGATTTAAAATTTAGAACATGTGGGTAAAAATTTAGAACATACGAGTTAAAATTTAGAACATGTAATTCAAATTAAAATTTTGAACATATGAGTAATAATTTAGAACATTTGTGTGAGTAATATGTTAGAACATCTGATTTAAGAATTAGAACAAGTGATTAAAAATTTATAAAATTTGCTTTATGAAATTTTAAACATATGAGTAACATTTAGAACACTTGATTTAAGATTATGAACATGTGAATAAAAATTTAGAACAAACTGATATTGAATATAGAAAGTGTGAGTAAAGAATTTAGAACATACGAGTAAAAAAAATAGAACATACGCTTTAAAATCTGGAAAATATAATTAAAAAATCTTAAAAATCTGGAACATATAATTAAAAATCTTAGAACACACGTTTTAAAATTTAGAACATAAAAGTTAAAAGTTTGGAACAAGTTATTTAAAATTTATGACATCAAGCTTAACTAATTTATGGTTTAGAACATGTGAGTAATAAATTAGAACATTTGATTTAATTTAGAACACCTGAAAAAAAGTTTAGAACATCAGATTTAAAAATTAGAACGTACGAGTAAAAATTTAGAACATAAAGAGTGTTCTCACATAAGAAAAATTCTCATATAAGAAAAATTCTCACGAGAGTCTTCCCCTATATATATATATATATATATATATATATATATATATATATACTAGTTTTGTGTTCGTGCGATGCCCGGGTTGTTTATTGAATAAGATAAATTTTTAATCTATATGTCAAATTTTAAAACATATCATTGATACAAAATTAGTTAGGAATTGATGTGTTTTTGTGATGATTTAAACTATATAGTAGGCATGTAATGACTAATAATAATAACATTGGTGAAAAACATTTCTTGACCTGTAACCTGAAATAATGACCATGCTGAAATGACTCGTAACCCGACCCGATTGACAGGTCTACACACAGTAATAAAATTATATTAGATTGTAAAGTATATTGTTTTAATTGATTAGAATATATTATAAATAATGGATGTGGTGCATTTTGAGTTAGTTCCTTCGCTCCAAAAAAATACTATGATTAATAAAATTATAATTTAATTTGTACATATGAAATATTGGTATTTTATCGAAAATAAAATTCTAAATTAAAAATTTTATCCTAAAATTTTATCCAAATTTGATTGAAAAGAATTGGAACACCAAGTGTCGTTATCTCGTCGTCTGGCTAAAAATTTAGCATATATATATATATATATATATAGCTAATAAGTAAATAAGTAAATATAAGCTAATTTGTTCCATATAAATAGCACCCTAAGTAATTGACATCTTCATAATTGCATAACCAAAGCAACAACTTGATAAGAATATAACAAAAAACAAATAAAGGAATGGGACTATTACCGTTATTTGTGAGCCCAAATGCACTCCCAGTAAATAGTGTCACGGCAGCGTTAGCTGATATGCATCGTAACTTGCTGCAACCATGTGATTCTATATTCTCCTCTGAATGATGTAATGAACCAATAATTTAACTCGTTAGAAGAATAAATATTCCTTACTATTCCTTAAAATTTGATTAAAATCTGAAAAAATTTAATTGTAGTCGTTACTGATAGAGTATAAAACATATTCCTGGGCCTCAACCATCAGCTTAATCTTTTGGTTGAGTTGGTCCACTAACATGGTATCGGAGTTAGCGTGACACAAAGGTCACAGGTTCGAATCTCATCCGCCCCTCCTTCAAAGTGGAATTGATTCGCACCCGGTATGGTTGGGCCTGTGTTGCATCCACATTTCAAGCCCAAAGGGCCTTTCATGTGAGGGGGGTCCACTAACAGTTACAAATATGACTACTATAATATTTTAATGATTATATATATAATTCATAATTTAATCAAATTAAAAGCCTCGTATACTTTACCTGCTTTTCTAGAAGACTCTATAAGAGCTTGTGGTACAGATCGGAAGCCCAAGTAGTCATAAACACCATTACCGGGGGTTGTGGTAGGAACTCGATTGTCAATTCGATATATTGCTTTACCTTCGGCTGGTAGCCAAGCTATATCGGCAAACTCGTTTTGGAGCCCAAATTTTAGGGCTTCAACCTCCAAGTCATGGTCTTCTCTTGTCATGTACGTGAGGTTCCGCTTGAAAAGTGGTTCCAACTTAAAGGTTACCTTCACAAAATAAGTTACTTTAAATTTGTGTGTTTAGTTATGGTTCACTATATATGTATTGTGTTTTTAAATTATTACTACGTTAAGAGAATTTTAACAAAATTCCACAAGATTGTGTTTTTTTATAAATCATAAAAGTTATTTAAAGTAGATTTTTGTCAAAAAAGTCATATCTCAAAACGTGTTAACAAATTAAAAACAAAGATAGATAAAGCAAGTCCAAAGAAAATCAAGTTGTGCATATATACCTGTGAGATGACACCAAGAACACCAAGTGAAACCTTTGCTGCATCAAGGTCTTCATCACCAACACTAAGCGTCCTAACTTTAACATAACCGTCATCACGTTTGCCAGGGCTAATGATCTTAAGGCTAACAACATAGTCATGAACCGCGCTTCCACGACCCCATAGGGAGCTTCCATGAGCACCCGTTCCTAGCATTCCCCCGACAGTTACACCAGCCCAATAAGGTGAATTTGGCAATGCTAAGTTCACCTTGGCCGCCTCATCTATCAGCTGCTTTAGCGTCATGCCGCTTTCTACCGTCATAGTTTCTTCTACCATGTTGACACTTATAATCTTGTTGAGATTTTCTGTGCTTATTACTAGACCATCTTCTCCATCAGGGCACACCAACTTTGTCGCACTGTGACCGTATTTGGTTGCTACCTATTGAAGTAAAAGTCATCTTTCATGTGTCAATTTTTTTTTTTTTTTAAAATTTCTTTTTAAAATATTTTTTTTTTAAATATTATCTTCAAATTTTTTTTAAGTTGCAATATTTTGATTTTTACTTTTTGACAATTTTTATTGTTCTTTCTTACTCATAATATATAGACTATAGTATGGACTACGGAGTACTCCGCATTATTTTTTAAAAATTGGTTTTAAATTCTATAATAATTTTAACTTTGAGAGCCTTTTCTTCTTACAGCCCATGATGATTATTTTTTTACTATACATAATGAAATTTTATTCTATAATAATTCTCACATGTAGAAGGAGTTCTCACAAGAGCCTTCCCCTATGTTCAAATTTTTTTTTAATGATTATTCTTATGTGAGAACATTATACATAGGGGAATGCTCTTGTAAGAACTCCTTCTATATGTGAGAATTATTCTTATGTGAGAACACTCTTTATGTTCTAAACTTTTACTCGTATGTTCTAAAATTTAAATCTGAAATTCTAAACTTTTCCTCAGGTGTATGTTCTAAATTAAATCAAATGTTCTAAATTAACATTCACATGTTCTAAACCATAAATTAGTTAAGTTTGATGTTATAGTGTTAAATAACTTGTTTCAAAGATTTAACTTATATGTTCTTAATTTTATAACGTATGTTCTAACATTTTTAATTATATGTTTCAAATTTAATTTAAAAGCGTATGTTTTAAATTTTACTCGAATGTTATAAATTTTACTCACATTTTCTATATTTTATCATAGGTTTTGTAAATTTTTATTCACATGTACGTTTGTAATCTTAAATCAGATGTTCTAAATTTCATAAAGCAGATTTTCTAAATTTTTAATCACATGTTCTAAATTTATGATCGGTCCTCATATAAGTATGAATTCTCACATATGAGTCTATTCTCACCTAATCCCTTCCCTATATATATATATATATATATATATATATATATATATATATATATATATATATATATATATATATATATTTCTTTGAAGAAGAAGAAGATTAAATAGATTTTAGTGAGCTAGTATTAATTAAGTTTTAAATCGAATATAATTAAATGAATTGTTTTTTTCCATTCCATTTCCTTTTGAATGTCTTATTTGTAATTTTGAGAGATTCAAATGCAAATGAGATTTAATACTTTAGGATAAATATATATATTTTAAAATAAAATTATGGGGGATTTTATTGAATTCATCTTGATTTTTAGTTTTCAGATATTAAATACATACTTTGTTAAACACAACTACACTAATCTATTATCATTCCTCCCTTGATCCTCTCCACTATCTCATGTATACGCCCTCCATGTTTTTAAGTGTCATACAATGACTTTTGCATCTATACTATATACTAAATTAATCACCAGAATTATCTCTAAAATACACATGTCGCATTTACAATAAAAAAAATTTCCGGCCTTTTTTTTTCTTACAAAATAAAAAGTTACAATAATTTATAAAAATATAGTATTAAATTATCTATCTATCAAAAGAGTTTAAAGGGTATATTCAAATTCTAAAAAAAATAGAAAAGTTATATAACTCATTCCATTTAAGCTAACTTTATTTCAATTGACTTTAACTTTAAGATTTACAAATCTTATTATTATAAGCATGCACGGAAAAAAAAAAAAAAAACTAATTATTCATTATACCACTTTGATCAATGAATTGATTATGCTTTATACATAAATCAAACATAGTCATCAATTCAACATATGGATACTTATTATTATATATCGTTACAATATGTAATGTATAATTTTTGAAAGTCAACTCTTTGTAATTTATAGTTATTGCTAATTAAAGATACTCTGTGTTTTGGGTGTTTTTGTCCCTCGGGAGAGTTACAACACGAAAACTGATCCGGCGTGAGCTGTACCTATAAAACAAATGGAGACACCGGTTGGGTGGTGCTCCGCCTCCGACGCACAAGTTAGAAACTTGAAGGGAGAGAAAAAAGGTGCGGAAATTTAGGTGGGTATCTGCTCGGATTCCAAGCTCAGATGTCTGTATCACAGGGATTGTTTGTAATAAATGGTAAAACGTGTCCTCGAAAGGAGGAACATCTCCTTATTTATAGGGTCTTTGGGATTTGTGCCCCTGATTAGGTCACTGAACCCTAATCATTGGTGGGCTGCGCAGTTTTGCGGCTTTCTCGGGATTTGGGCCTGAAGGCCGCCTTTTTCTCTTAATTTCTGGAGTGACACGTGTCAAGCAGGGATTGGTCCACTTTGGGCCATCCTGAGGCTGACACGTGTCATCCTCTGATTGGACCACATGGCGGGGTAAAATTACCCTAAACATTTGCCCCTCACAGATGTGACGTGGCACGCCACGTGGCATCTGTGACATGTGTCACGCTCCGATTGGTAGTAATTTTACCATAAAGAAGTAACCGTTCACCTTCCGGGTAAATTACGGAAATGCCCCCGTATTTACCCTCTATATATAGCCAGTTTACCCTCATAATTTTGTACGCTTACAAAAATTTTCTAGAGAGAACTTTGAGAGAGCAGAAGTCATCCGTTCAAGTCAGGCGCAAGCAAGGAAGCTCGTTCTCCATCAACCCAGCCGGACCCGCCTATCTTCAGATATCAAATCCAAAGGTACCGTCTCTTCCTCTCTCAGCTCTTTTTCTTGTTTCACCGCTTGTACATATTTCTTGCAATAAATGGATGCATCACCAACACACACGGCACAGCCTAGGTTAGAGTCCAGCCGGTCACCAGGGACAACTGAGTCTAGGACTGGGAGTGCCGTCTCGGGGTGTTGGGACCACCCTTTGCCTTGGATTTCGACCAGTTACGTGTCTGTGCAGGACACAATGGCTCGAATAATGCAGACGGCAACTGATCCAAATTACAGAAGCGAAGGCTCAGGCGGCCAAACGCCTGAGGGAGAAACGTCTGGTCAGGGAGATCAGACGGCTCTGGAGAGATCCCCTCCGCGCGCCCCCTCAACTCCCACTGACTCCTTTTTGGAGGAATGTGACCAAGGCGACGATGAGGCCGTCTCTGTCCCCTTGACCCAAAATGAGGAGGAGACGGAGAGTGACAGCTCCGCCTCTACCTCTGAGAGCAGTGACGATTTACCCCCGCTTCAGGATAGCGAGGAGGAAGAAAGGAAAAAATGGAACGAGAAAGACGATCCCTTCAACATCCACGTCTCCTCCAAGGACCGGATCCAAATGGAGGAAAACTTAAAGAATTTTACACAAATGCACCCGCTAGGAGACGGGTATAGGATCCGGGTGCCGCCTGAGAATGGCACCGTCGCCTGGGAGGACGATCAAGAGAACGCCAACAACTATTTCGGCTGTTATGAGGCGGCGTTCAAGGCTGGTCTTCGCTTCCCCCTTCACCAGGCGGTGAAGGAAATTTTGAGAGGCTACGGCCTCGGAGTCTGGCAACTTACCCCCAACTCTTGGACAAACATTCTGGGGTATGTTGCTGCCTGCGAGTTCCAGGGGCTTAACCCCGGCTGGGAGGCTTTTGCTAGTATGCATTATCTTAGCAGAAGCCCAGGCGGCTGGAGGGCGTGGTATACTCTAACCACGCATCCCCAATACATGATGACCTTGGACAAGGTCTCAAAATTCGACGGCTGGAAACACAGGTTCTACCTGATGTCAGCTCCAACCAGACGGGAGAATTATGAGTTCCGTCTGTACAATAAGAAGCCCGACTTGATGGGCCGAAAGTGTGCTCTTCCCCGGATCCCAGAGGAAGATTTTGACAAGATCATTGAGGCAGACTTTTTCGGCCTCACAGACGCGACCTTGTCAACCGGGGAAATAATAAAAGTCCCTAAGAACTGGATCCCCAAGAGCGCCTGGTTCAGGGACGAGTGCTTCCTAGCCGCCTGCGGGCTAGGGCACATGTTTACCAAACGTATGCGCCTGAGTTTATATCCGTCTGTAGTATCTTTCTATCACAATTGATTTATGATATAGATCAATTTCTCTTTTTTCAGAAGAAGCATTAAAAATGTTGCAGACGGAGAAGACTCCCAAGCGGTCCTCTGAAGTCATCCGCAAGGAGCTTGCGGAGAAAGCTGCGGCTGAGGTCAAAGCCAAGGTAATAAACGCCTTACCCTTTCGTAAATTGATCTTAATAATTATTTTTCCCGGATGCTAACTTTAACTTGGTTATTTTTGCAGGGAGGAGAGGTTGGAAAGACGTTTGAGAAACAACTCAAACGGGCTAGGGAAGAGACCCCCTCCGTTCTCAACAAAATAAAAAAATCCACCTCCGCGTCAACTCCTGGCGCCTCAGCCGGGCATCAACAAATGCGGATAGCGGGGCGAAACGAGAAGATAGGCGGCAGTCTGTGCCTTGATCTCGTCAATCCCTTATCAGCAGCCGCGGGGTTCACCACGCCTGCAAGCGGTTCCCGCTTGGCCGGCTCTGAAGGTAAGAACCCTTTTGAATCCCCGCTTGAGCTGGGGTGGCCTTTGCGGGTGAAATCCCACTCTCAACAGACGTCATCTTCAGACGGTCGGCAAAAAATAGGTGCTGCCTTAGTTTCGCAGCACTCACGTATTGATTGTGGTGCAGATCAATCTCCCCGCTGGCCAGACGTCCAGAAGCATGCCAAGGCCATGCTTGACGCCGTCCGGAAGAGGGATAAAGACAACATTCCTGGGATAAAGACGTTCAATTTGGAACGCATTCTATCCCTTCTGGATGAGGTAAAAAACTTGTCAATTCAATTTATTATTTCCAAGCATTTTATCCCGCCTGCAATACTTATACCGCCTGCCTTTTGCAGGCCATGCTGCGGGTGGACGGGCTGAAACGTCCATATTCCCGCAAACGGGAAGAGGTAAAAAGGGCCAAGAAGTCCGCCTTAGACGCTGACAATATTACTTTACACTCGACTATCGTAAATGAACTTGAAACTAAAGCAATCATTATGACACAGGCGTCTAGAATCCAGCAGCTGGAGGCAGATCTGGAGA